CTCTCTCTCACACACACACACTCACACACACTCACACACACACACACACACACACACTCACAATCGATGAAGGATTTTGTGTTTTATGTAGGTCAAGCGATTAAAATTTTTTATCTAAATAATAACATGATGTGCTGATTAATTAATCTAATTAATTACTAATTAATTGCACATCAATTTGGGCTGAGAAATGACTCCCAAATGATAAATTAAAGTCATTATTGTGTTATGAGAAAAGCATTGCATAGACTTTACAAAAAAAGTAGTTTTTGAAAAAGATATTGATTCAACATTTCAAGTGACTGTCTTTATGAATCAGTCACTGAATCACTGACTCACTCGATTAATTTAAATGGCTTTTAAATTTAATTTAAATGGCTGTCTGTGACAGCAAGAGGCTCACTCGATTCACTCAAAACCGTAGATTCATTCAGTAACGAATCACCACTGTGTTGATCAGAGCTCAACAGTTCTGCTGTGAGTTTGATTGGAACAATTTTCATTTGCAAAATTGAGAAAAACAGATGATATTGTGTCTAAAATGTAACTGTTGTATAAAATCAGTGGTGCAGATATTGGGGAAAAGCAGCACTGTTGCCGGTGTGATATTGCTAAACTATATCATATGATATAAATAATCTTGAATTATGCGGCTCCTTTAATGGCCTTAATCATTTTAACATGTTATCTTTTCCTAAATTACACCAAATTAAGGTGTTAAATCGACAGCCCTAGTTTTATCATAATCATATATTTTCTCATAGTAAACAGGACGGTCGTGTGTTAATAACCGCATGAACGCTTCATATCTGAGACGCTGCCGGACTCGTTCAAGCGCATCATGACGACTTTAACAGCAGGACTTTAAAAAATACATTAAAAAATCTGATGGAGCTGGGTTTTTTTGCTCTTTGTCATAATTAGCTAAATTAATGAAATGCGGCGGATGTCTTAGTTTCATTTAGAGCTTTAATGTGACACAGAGGTAATTAAACATGCCGGCGAGTGATTTGTTTAAAAAAAGATTCGCTCGTTTGGAGTCGGACGGTTAAACAGTGCGTTTGATGAACATGTCTCGTGAGTTAGTTAGGGTTTTAGTTAGTGGAACTAGTATCTGGCCGCTCATCAGTGTGCTGACTAGTAGCTGGTCAATCTCACAGAGAACTTCCCAGATCACATTGATTGATTTCACTGCAAAATCTGACCTGGAAATCACAGAGAAGCTCAGCAGGGATTAATTTTATGCAAAATTTAATGCATCAGTTAGGGATGCAGCAATGTATCGGCCGCCGATATTTATCGGCCGATTTTTCTTCGATTTACAACCATCGGCATATCGGCTATATAAGGGAAAAGGCCGATATAACAAACCGATAGTTTCTTAATTAACTGCGTGATGGCACTGAGCTGTATAATGTCTGTTGCATAATCCTAGCGCTGCTGTCTGCACTTTAATGCTAATCAAATAACAAAAGACAAAAGATCGCACACTATTCTTGACTAAATAACTTTTGTAACTTTCATAAGTGTAGCGGACCTCATCTGAATGATGACCAAAACTTTACTGATGTTTTATTAAGTTTATTGCGTCCTTTTTCACTCCAAAAACAATCACCATAAGAGCTAAACAAAACACCGCACGAGAAGTGCCCATTAAACTCTCTCTCTCAGTTGCATTATCATCAACATTGGATCCCCCGGTAAAAATCGCATTCCGGTGGGGTAAAATACACGTTTTTGGGGTCGCTTAAACCCGCGGACACGAAAAACAACCAGCAGCAACAATTTTAAAGTAGCCCAATTCCGCGGCAAAAAGGCGGACTTGGCAACACTGAGCTCCGTAGACTAGAAAACCCGTCAAAATAAGAGTCCCGCCTTGGTAATGGAGATCTCATACATATTTAAACTTAAAAATATTAAAATGTATACAAAAACAAATTAGAAGATTAATCATAATAAAGTCTGTTACAATAAAGAAGGATTAATATGTATTTAATTTATACAGTGAAGTGTTATTTTACATTTGTTTACTTTATTTCTGTACCTGAAAACTGTTAAACCTACCTAAAAAGCACTGTTTATTTAATATGTATCTTTGTTCTGTTGTATTTATGTAGGCCTGCTGAATGTTAAATGGATCCAATCCATGTTCATTAGAAATTATTTGATGATGCAGCAATAAAACTGCTAGTATAATTTAATGCAGGTGTTTTTGAACTTTGCTGATTTAAAACATAATCAAAATACTATCTATTTTGATGCCAAAATTTCAAATAAGAGAGAAAGTGACAAATATCGGTATCGGAATCAGCCAATAAGTGTTTGTTAAAATCGGTATCGTATCGGCCCCAAAAAATCCTATCGGTGCATCCCTAGCATCAATTTTCTCTTTTGATTTTGAGGTGGAATAATATACTTTCCATAGGATTGACCCATAAGTCACCCGAAACCTCATTAATTTACCCTGTTAGTTAGTATTAGTCTGTTCTATGTGTATCACCATCATTCCCAGGATGCACTTGTGCTCAATAGCCCCAATGTAAATGGTAATTCTCAGCTATTTACAGTTAAACAGACTGAAAATGTGATATGAGTGATGAAATATCAGCGCTGCGGTGCTCCGGCTGAGCTTCAGACGCTCATGAACGAGATCCGCGCTCACAAGTTTGCTTTAAGTGAGAGCTGTTTGAAATAGAGTTTGTTTGCTGAAACTCTCCCTCAATTACCATCTGCATGTGTGTGTGTGTGTGTGAGAGGACTAAATTATAGCCTGTGTGTTGCCAGGCTGCAAATAGAAAGGCAATAATTATCCCAAGCACCCCTATGTAAATCATGTGAAATCAGAGATTCAAATGAGGTGAGATTTCCTGGAAGAAAGAGAAATGAGAGAGAGACAGACTCACAGAGGAGTGACGGCGGCTGCTTCTGTTGCATGGGTTTGTGGGAATGTGCATGCATTGATCTCTTGCTCGTATTTGCTCTGATTGATCATGTTTTGGATGTTTTCAGTGTGAATCCGATGAACAGATCAAGTGGTGCCGTGACCCGGACACATCCAAAGTGTGACTGCACCCACGACCAATCAGATTCATGAAATAATACTTTTCTGTTTCTTTAACAGATTGCTTTTTTTTTTTAGGAGTAACCTTCAGAATTAACATTATACTGAAGAGTTTTTTTTCTCTTTAGGGATGAATCTCACACTTGGATTTCAACCCAAAACCAAAAGAGAAAATATGCAGACATTATAATTAGCTTAAATAAATTCAAGCTTATAGAACCATTAGTATTATTGTAGCATTTATTGTCATGATAATTAAGCACATTTCCTCCCCCAACTCACGTTATTCTCAATAATAGGCATTTGTTAAAGACAGTAGTCATACTGTAATGTATAAATATCATACAATTTGAATTCCAGTCACACTTATTTCTATAGCGCTTTATCCAGTACAGATCCTTTCAGAGCAGTTTCATAGCAATAACCAGGAAAATAACAGAATCAGTGATGCAAACTTGCTCTACAGAAGACAACAGAGTCATTGTTCTGGGCTGCGTTTCCCTAAAGCATTGTATGCTTAAGTACATCGTAGCCCCATTGAAACCAATGGAGCTACGATCAACTTACGAAGCTTTTGGGAAATGCAGCCCAGATCAGTGATGATTCAGTTCAGGTCATTTTTTCACATTTCAAGATTGTAGTCATTATGAAAAAAATGTGCTTGATTGTCAAAAAATATTGCTACAAAAAAATCTTAATGGTTTTAAAAATAGGCTTCATTTTTCTTTGTGCATTTTTCTCAGATTTGTTTGTGAAATGTAAGATTCACTCCTCGCGGCTCGATCCGATGCATGCGGCACGGACTGAACATTTACAGATGCTCTTATTTGGCCCTGTGTTTTGTTGTTTTTCTTCATTTTTTGTTTCTTTGTTTGTTCTCTCCTAACACCGCTTGTCTGTCATTCTCGTCAAGTTGGTCGACTCCAGCGACGAGGTAAAATCCAACATCTGACACTATGACACCATTATGATGTACATCAGCGAGGATCAGAATCTGGAGATGTTGTCTGTAGAATATGTGAACTCTAATCGCTCTGGTGATTGTCGATGCGTGGCAGGGTTTGGTTGGAGGCTGGTTCAGTAGAGACAGACGGTGATGTTCTGCTGTAGTTCAGTCTCGTGTTTGTGCTCTGTGTTCAGAACGACGAGCTCCACAGCATTTGTGTAGCAATGTTCATTATCACCGAAAATTATTTCAGCACATTTCAGCAGTCTGTACTAGAGGTCGACCGATAGTGGATTTTGCCGATACGGATAGCTAGGTTGGACCACACTGGCCGATACCGATTAATTAACCGATAGTTTTAAAATTGATACTGAACAAAAACTAAAATAGTGCTTTATTAACAAAAACAGTACTGAACCATACTTGTAGTAGTAGTAGTAAAAATAATAACAATAATAATAGTAATAGTAAATGTTGAAATTAACACTCTAACAAGGAACAATACTTTTACACAGCTTTCATTAATCTTAATGCTACAAATGGACTCTTATTTTAAAGTGTTACCATTTAATTTCAACTGTCATGCTTAAAGATGCACATTTTTAAATATATACACAAAGGCCATAGCATTAAAATTATATACATATGGATATTGTATGTATACTCTCACACTTTAACTGCTTCTATTCTTGAACACTTCATGATTATCTAATCAAAATAAAAGCGCAGCGCTGAGTCTAGGACAGGGGTCGGGAACCTTTTTTGACCAAAGAGAATTTTTTTTATTTTTGGTTAATGCATTTTTCCGAAAGAGCCAAAGTAAAAAATAATAATAAAAAAATATATATATAATAATAATAATAATAATAATAAATGTGTTTGTGTGTT